ATGCTGAATTGCCTGGCGCTCCACATCATTTTGCCCAAGTGGATGAGAATAGACATTGGAACATCATTGGCTCCTGCATTTCGTGGAGAGCACTCGTAGACTTCTGGTGCAAACTACACATAGAAGGGGTTTGAAGTAAAGGCCTTCGACATACTTTCCTTTCCCAAATTCGGGAAATTTGTCCTCTTCTGACCATATATCAATGGTAAATGCGGACAGTCCGCTTGAGATATTTCTGTGCATGAAAAGACATTGTGAGCATCAACATCGCCTCTAATTCCGTGTGGCACAAAGGCGTACTCTTGCATTGTCAGAAACTTGATATCACACTGTGTCGTATTGCCTCGGTATGTGCCGGTCCAAGCTAGTACTAATTCAGTACTATTTGATACAGAGCTGCATGTGTCTATGCTTATTGTCTACTTTATGTTGCCGCTTCCCTGCTCTTGCTGTAACCTGGCAGGATCAACTCAACTAGTCAATCAGCCACCAGATTCAGATTCTTTGGTCGATTTTGGGTTGATGTGGATCTTGGTTATATTAGCCATTGCTATACAACAAGACGTTCACAGCCCCATCAAAAGCATCCCTGTCCATCTCCATCAGGGCCTCAATCCCCCATAGTCTTATGCTCACGTTATCTCCATGTGTGCCAGCATGTTTCCCCTACATTATTCAAGAACCTTGTTGTAGGCAATAAATGGGCACTACTACAACATGTTAAGAGTTTTGGCATCGTTGCAATCAAACTCTTTGTGAGCCATGCCTTCCGCTATATTGATTCATGTCTTTAAAGCTCTCAATCTCAGCGATTGACCGTGTTGGCACTAATCTAGGCTGCATTGGAGTTAGCGTCAGCATGCATAGCCTCCCTGAGCTTGGTGTGTCAGTTAGGTTAATGCTCTCGTACCAATGTAGGTATCTCTTGGCCTTTAGCCATAATATGCACACAATTTTTCAAATAATTATCTTTGCTTATTATGGTGCTCATTCATTTCACAACCACAGCCAATGATCTTACTGAATGGGATAGCTCGAGTACGCCACCATTTCTTTAGAGAAAAATAGCATTTTCCAGTGTTGTAAAGGGGGATGCATACCCCGGTGCCGGCACACGTTAGGCCCAGGAAAGTGCTACCAAAAATACAAAACATTATGAGAATAAGGCTACATTGACTGAGTCAGACAAACAAGGTAGTATCAGGTAGTAAGTATGTACTTACAGCATATATGCTGGAAACGTAGCATTGCACACCTCGACATGCCAGGAGAGCGTCTATGGTATTGAGGTACACTGAAAGGCCAAACAAAAACAATCAGTAGGATCCCGTCTAACGTGATGGATGTGGCCATGAAGGACATGGCGGAAGCAATGTGCGGGACCGTTTTGCTTGTGTGCCCGGTTGTGCACGGTCGAAAACAGCATGACAGTCTGAAAATCACAATCCTTGATGAGGCAATCCCCTTTTCTGTTTGCTCCATTTTTGCATTGGACTCAGGCCACCCTACTCATTAAATCACGTGATTAGGATTCGCGCTACCCGTCGACAAAGCGACATTTGTCCACATGACATTACAACCATTTCTTGGGCAACCCATCCACTGATGTTGGGTACAGCTCCTCCACAGCATTCTTCTCTGTGGGTGAACCATAAACTGGCCATTGACAATGGGTTCTCATTAGTGAATAGCTCTCCAAGGAATGCAATTCGTCCTGATGTAAAAAATGTTCTCAAGCAAGTAACGCACTATTACATATAGTCTCTCCGGAAACGACGTGGTGCTTGACCATATCAGGCGAATAGCAAAATGTCTAAATGACTCTCTTCTTAAGAAATATGAGAGGAAGTGTTCCAGAAAAGTGACGGCAATTTCTGACGCACTTGCGCACAGTGCTTGATACAGTATTGGTTGGTGATTGTGTGCGCTCATGTAGTGGTGGGCGCTGGTGGGGAACGACATATTTGGGATCACGGTGGCACAGGGAACGTCCCATAGGCATGCAGCTACAAGCACACGGACGCGGGCGCCGGAGGTGCCTCACCGTGAACGCCCCGTTTGGGATTGCGCTGCTGCCCTTTTTTCAATGCTAGGATTCAAATGCGGGGCATGTCCGGGTGACCCTGAATGTCGTACACGTGTAGTTGCCATACTTGTGGCGGTTTTGATTTTGCAGGGGCATTAAATCCCCGCGCTGTCGACCATGGTCCACCATGGATGGACGCGTGGACGTCCACGCACAATCTGTGGTCTCTTGGTCTTCATCGTTTACAGCGTTGCTCATTGATCTACTAGAGCCACGACACAAAGGGCGTTGCTTGCCGTTCGCGAGCAAAGCTTCGCCGCTCAGTCGTCCTCCTTTCATGGCAAACGCATCTAGCGCTGGCAGCCCTACCGATCACAACGGGCGCGACGTGATCAAAGGCGATCTCTTCATTCATTGCTTGCTGATCACGCAACTGCCCTGTGGCTTCCGTGGCCCCTGCGCCCATCGAGCGTCGGTGCTTAAAGGTGATCCACAGGCCATATTTGCAATTCTTTCCACTAGGCCACCTAGCATCTGTTCGTGCTCCATCAGCAGAGGCGATGCGAACCGGACCAAAAAATAAGGCGAGGCTGTTTCAGCACTCGGAGGAGGATAAAACCCTCAAAATACAATACAAACATACCCCAAATTAGGAAATGCTACATATAGTAAGGTGCAAATATTCAATAGCTTGCATATTACACCTGGAGGCAAGTTGCCAAGCAGTTCCAATACATTTGCATGGACAAAATATTTAAACCTGGTTGCTGCAGCTACACTTTCGGATGCACCCTCTTTTCTCTAAATTGTGGGAGCAATTATCCCCATAGTCCACAAAATAGAAATCCCGTTGTCAATCATGCAAAATAGCACACTCCTTGGCAAGGGGGGAAGTGCAGGTCGACATAGATAAGGACTCTCAATCAGATATGATGGAGAACCCTTGACTCTTTAGCCTACGCTAAGGAGCCCATCATGAGAATCAGCATCATGGAGATTCAATATGAAATATCTCCAGATTTAATTATGGAGAGATGTGTGCATCAGCAGAATTCCTCGAACAGCGCCAGAACAACGGCGTTCCATTGTAAATTAGGCTTATTACAGGACAACAATTAATTATCAGGTATGCGCGTTTATGCGTACAAGCTGTTATATACAACAGCCACATTTACGATGTAAATATATTTACATCGTAATGTTTGCCGAACATTAACTCGCAAATCTGGCTCTTACTCATCTGCATGCAAGTATGTGCCATCTGAAAACGGAGCCGAGGCCAAGTTCATATCGGAGACTAATGGCCGGCAGACCTGTCTGCCAGCGCTGTTGCACAAGAGTGGGTGGAGAATGGCCGTTCACTGAATGACATTCGACGATGTTGCCGTTTTCAGTATAGACAAGGTGGGAGCGGGCCCTGGTGGTGTTGAAAGAGGCGGCCTGCCCCCAATCCTGCCTGTGGGGATCGGCCGGGGAACCCGCTGCGAGAGAGAGCGCTGGCCCCGCGGCGGGCCGGATGGGGTGCGAGAGGGGTATGTGTGCGGTAAGTGGACAGGCAGGGGGCGTGCGTACTGCCAGGTGCTGACTCAGCGTGGCACCCTGGGGCCATGCAGCGCACACCGGAATCGGGCGGAATTGGGTGGGTATCAGGCACTGTCATGCCGCCCTGTATGCTGGGCACGGAGGGGGGGCTCAGGGTTTGGGGGACGTGAACCCGAGCGTGTCGTAGACCTCATTGTAGATTTCTGATGGGCTAGGTGTATTCAGCATGCAATTTGCATTACTCTTATGCCAAGAACGTTCAAAAAATGGCGGGTTTGGGGCCGGTCAGGGCCCTGCCAGCGCACATTGCAGCGCACTGCTGTTTCCTGTTCCAAATTTTTCTTTGCCTAAGTTGTCTCAACTGTCATCGATCTCCACTTTCGCTTTTCACTTTCCTGACATGGGTGACTGACTTATCAGCGGCGGTCACGCCGTTGGCTACAATACGACACAGCACGGCTGGCACAGATTTTTATTGTCTTGGCTGCTGTATGGAGGGTGGCTAGTGCCAGGGCGCGGGGGGAGGGGAGCCAGTCGGTACGCCAGCGTGGAGAAGTCTCAAGCTATGAGTACGTAGTTTCGTGGAACTCAACGTTCACAGAACGGAGCACACTTGGGGGAACGACTATTCCGACGCCCAGCAGAGTGGGTGACACTTCAGTTCATTTGTTCATTGCAGTGAAACACACAGAATGCCCCGTGCTTAAGCGCTTGTGGGTACAAAGTGGGTCTACCCCAGTTGAGGCCCGGAATCATCAGCAGAAAGGTGCAATCAATGATTGTTACAATTCACAATCAGTGAACAATCAATCCATAGATTTACAGTCCAAGAAAGCGATCAACTGGGGCGCTTTGCTATTCGCAAAATCCCCAAAAGTTTTCGCCCATCAATTAATCAATTCACAAATTCTCTTCACCATCATAGCGTTTCCATCAGCACATTTCAAAAGCGCAGGCTGGCTTCGTGCAGTGCACCTGATCAGATGCCGCGACAGCAAACATGCCCAGCATGCATCCTTGGCCCGTCTGACGAATTGAAAAGATCCACACTCTCCACGTTTCACATGTGAGGCAGCAAGCTTCACTCGCCGACGCCGGCAAACGAAGCTCCGTTAGTCAATCCCCAGAGCCAAACCAACCGAAAAATTTGTCTTGCATGCCATCTGAAAAGCAACTTTCCGCTGGGATGCCAAACCCCATCGCGGTGATGGTGGGGCACGAAAATGCGTTCTTATTGCTGTTCAAATCCTTCATGAATCCTCTCTGTTTCACACAAAAATGCATCCACGCCTGGACAAACTTCCAATTAGTAAACAAAACGTAGCACTACCAAGCTTTCGACGAGCTCTTTGAATTGGCAAAGACTGAAACCGAGACACATTTGAGGTTCGTGGGTTTTGTTTGGGGAACAAAAAATCAAACCAATCCACTCTCAGCGCGGCCTGTAGCTCGAGCTGGCAGATCTAGCAGATCGGTGGAATGGTGGCCTGGAAGCAGTCCAATCGCTGCGCGGGAACGCGTCCCAGACGACACGACCACTCGAGGGTCTCCTCCTGCCCAAGCCTGCCGCCTCCTCAAAGGAATGCAGCCCCTTCTGGGATGGTGTCATGGTAAAGGCCACTCTTTGGGTTGGCGTCATGCACACGGGCATTGATGGTTGCGATGCACTCCGCGTCAGGGGTGGCAGGTCTTGCGCAGGCACCCTCAACTGTATCGGCTCCCCGCGTTGCGCTGGCAAACAATCGCCACAGGGGCGATTCGCGACCGGGTTGCAATTGGAAGGCCGCTCCGGTCCCAGGTCTTCTGAGCCCTGAAAAGCCGTGTCCTCAGCCTCGCTGAACGCCTGGGCTGGGCTCATCACGAAATCCACGACTCTTGATGAAGAGTGTGCCATAGTGGATGGTGTGCGGGTGGGCGAGAAGTTGCCTTGAGGCCGTGCATCATCCCTGGAGACATGCCGCCAGCCAGAGGCGGTGAACTGGCAGGCTGCATCCATCCAACTGTTGAACCGGGCCTCCTGAAAAGACTTGGAGCCGTCCTCGGTGTTTCTGCTTGCGTGTTGTGCCATGGAATTCCCACCAGACCCCCCGGGGTATGGTTGGCTGTGCCGATGGGCAATGCTGCCCATTCCAGGTCCATTCTGCCATGTTCTGCCATGCCCATTCTCAGGGGAGGTTGCTGTGCCTCGAGTGGAAGCCTGGGCATGGGAAGACCGCCTATCGCTTGAGGCGCTCTCCTCGCTCGGCGTTGCAACAGGCTGTACCCAGCCTGGCCCTTCCAAGCCTGACCACCTTTCAGCGCTCCCCTCCAGGATGCCACGGCTCAGCTCTGCAAAATTAGAGAGGCGGCCCCTCTGGGCGGCCTCTGTGACAGACTTCAAAAACACCCAGCCGTCGATTCTGGCCAACACATGGACTCTGTCATCCGACTCCGACTCAGTCCTGCGTGCCACGCTCATCCCTGAGCACAGCATGCGATGCAGCCCACAAAAAACAATTTTCTTCTTCTCCTTGAGGCCCTTTCTCCAGCGACCTGCCCTCGTGGTGTCCTGGTCCATGGATAGGTGGCCTGCAGGCAAGGCGTCCACCACCAGAGCACTGGCATCGTCCTGTATGGAACTGCCCGCTTGTTGCATCGCTGTATGGATTAGCCGTGAGGCAGCGCCCTCAAGCGGTGTCCCACGCACCTCTAATGCGGCCTCCTTCCAGTGCACCAGATCCCACAGGCCGCTCGAGCCTAACACCACCCTGGCACCCACCTTTGGCAGCGTCATCTGCGAAACAACCGACACAAATGAAGGAGTCAGAGCAGAGCAAGGGCAAATGGTGACAATCGATTTGAAACTCAGCATGAATTCCTTGCGCATTTCTTTGGCAATATGAACGGCAGTGTTTGGCGTTGGGAAACTGTCACTGGCCAATGATTGCCATACCTGGGAACCATCATTGCAGAGAGGACAAACAGTGCATTCATACCCCACCACCTTCTGTTGGCTTTGCACACAATGCACTCGGGACTCCCATGCTACTGAGACACAACTCCTCTAGTGCATTTGTGAGAAGCAAGAACAGTGGCCAATAGTTGTACTGTGCTGAAAGCTTCATTTTGCATACCTTGACTTACATTCCATCTTTGCTCTTTTTGTAAACTCCCAAGTCGTTGGGAATAAGCAATCACCACAGGCAAGTACAAGGGGTGTTGGAGTGGGGCCCTATTGTGCCTGCATGCTGGCTAAGCTTCAGTCAAAACTGAATGTTATGTTGTTTTGCAGTTTTAATTACACTGAGATATTGTTACTCGTATCCTACAAGCAGGAAAGTCCAACAAAAGCAGAATCATGGTCTGGAGGGGGGTACTGAATGCATAAAGTCTCCCCCTTGCTGACAAGGATTGCTTGGGTCACGATCGCTTCACTCTTCCCTAAAAGATGGCGGTGGCGCCCGCTCTCTCGAACATAAGGCAAACCTTGGGAATAAAACCCTGTGAAAAACATGATCCAGTCCCAAAAGGACCATTTTGGGGAAGCCCAAAGAAACCCCTGCCCTGAGTGCAGGTCCCCCTGCTGCCCATATTTCCTGAGCAGTGTGTCTTTCTAGCGCGCTCAAGCACTTCCGCGCCTTTCACATCACAGAGACGAGTCCAACCAACGCACTCCACCCACAATGGGGCTGTCCACTGATGGCACACTTCCATTCTGCCGCAACCAAAGAATCTCCCACGGCCTCTGCGGCTGTTCCACACACGTTTGGACATACCACGGTGGTGACATGCATAGCGTCGTCGCAACACCAAATGCAAAAAAATGATGCAACGTTTTGGAACTCAAAAAAACAACACCGAACGTAGGAAATCTACTTCCCACGGCCTCACCTGGCACAGGTGCGGCCAGGACAGGATGCACTCCCCACACTCCACGTCCCCCACTGCCCTGGACACCAGCGATCCGCCCGGCCAGCACCTCAGCGGCCCAGGCGAGCCCTCACCGGGCAGCGCGGGCCCTGGAAAGACGGCCGACGCCGGGGCCAGGTAGGCCCCCGCCTCCTCCAACCGGGCCCTCTCCGCATGGTTGGACTGGATCCTGTGGTTGACAGTCGCCAGGAACACCTCCGTGCTGGTGTCCACCACCGCGTCGGCGTCGCCTAGGTTGGCGACCGTCAGGAGGCGGCCGCACAGCAGGGCCATGGTCACCGCGGTGCCTGCGGGGCGTAAGATTTGTTACAAAGAGACAAGGAACAGGTCATACAAAGAACACCCCCTCCAAAGCAGGTGAATGCGAGACTCTTTTCCGTGCTGCGGAAAGATGATTAGGGCTGCCTGCGGGGGGTGGCCAGAAGAAAGCGTAGGTGAACTTATGCCAGAGGCGCCAGAGCAGCCGTGGGCACACCCGCGGCGGGTTTTGGGACAAAGCGCAAATTTTGAAGGTTCCTGCAAAAGCTTTACAAGGGCGCGGGAGGGAAATGCCGGGTGAAGGCATCGGGCCAAACGGCCGGAGGCCGGCACGGGCGAGGGGCGGTGTGATGGCTCGATCACGCGTTTTGCTGCTTGCTCGCGCGGAATCGCCCTGGCTGTGATCCGAAAGGAGCCCAAACGCCCAAACTGCGGCGTCAGCCGCTGCTGCCGGTTTCCTGGCAGATGTCCCCGCAAAACTGGGCGACAAACCACTGAGCCACCCGATTCGTCCACAAATGCCAGGAAAATGTGACTGGCTTCGTTTGTCTATGTCAGTGTTTCACACCACAATTTCCACTGCTTTCTACTACCAAATCGGGGTGCTCAGCATCCAGGAATAGATGTCCAGCAATTAGGCTACTCGAGGTGCAGCCAACAAACTCCAAGGAGGTACTATCCATCATTCTAGGTGAAATGGGCAGATTCCCCTTTTCCCACTCGTGTGCCTGCATGGAAGGAAAATCTGGGCAGTGTTTTTAAGGACCCCAACGTCGCTGCAAAGCACTCAACATCAGTTCTGCTCATGCTGCAGAGAATACACGGGTATTACAACAGGCAGCATAACAGAGTGAGAACAAACAGAAATCTTGGAAGGTAGAAGAGAAGACAGAGGAAATTAAGCAGGGGGCAAGATGCAAAGTGGAGTAACCCAAAATAGCGGAATAGTGCTACAGCAAGTGAGGGCAATTCTATGTCAGATGTTGGGACACTGTAACCGTTGGCCAGCCATATGTGCTAGCCCTTCTACCTAAGAACTCACCAGATTTGTTGCCAGGATACTCCACTTTGAATTGATAGCCAATACGCACATATGCCTTGATGACTGCCCCTCTAACTTGTGTTGCAAATTTTTCAAATTCTGCAGCCACACCAAACGATACGCACATCAGATGACCACTTGGCTGGAGTTGGGCTTGGCTCGTGATAATGGCTGTTGCCCACAGTCCCTCCGAAATCACAAAGGGTCAGGCATGCCTATGCATTGGTTTGCTGAGAACGATGAACTGGCAAACATTTTGATTTGCTGCATATGCAGAGCAACCACGGTCAATCCACTTCATTCTTGCTCAGTTCAGCCCATTGACACTCTGATAGAAAAATAACACAAAACTCTGCTTGATGGAACTCGTGACTGCCCTTGTGTGTAATTATTCATTGTTGACCATTGCTCACATCCACAGCCGCTTGTTCCCACTGGGATTTCAATTCTCAACTGATACCAAACAGTCACAAATGCTGCCAGTCAGTGGACTTTTGGAAGTGCACTTACTCAGTGCTGTCCATTTGCAGGATTATGTTCATGCTGATGACTTCTGCCTCCTAACTTTGTAGCAGCTGCAATGTGTTTTCATGATCATTATGGCTGAGTCATAGCCAGCACATTTGATTTCTGATTACACAACTGCAATGCTGAAGCTACACTGCATTTTGTGCACATATAGGTTCTTGGAGCACAAACATAAAATCAGAGGCTACTAACAGTTGCCCTCAAATTTATTCGGTGTTTCAAATACATATTGCCTGGTTAGTTAACAAGCTTTCACTACAATGCACCTATTTAGCACTGTGCCCTTATTGACCAAAGTTGCAGGCTCTTGCCACACCCACAACCGCATCACCTTGTTAATTTATTCCAATCCCTATAATGCAAACTCTCCACTGTTTCCCTGCTCGCTATACGCAACAGGAGAGAGCATACTGCCCCTGTTCGCTCACAGGCACTGGGATGTGGAACAGCCAGAATGTGGAGCCAGAACGGTTGTCGCACCCAACAACAAAACATCTAAAGCTCCAGCGGCACACAAGCCACCAAAAGACAAAAAGTGAGCCATGACTGCAGATCCCTCGACCAGCCTCATTTCGTATCTAATTGAAGCGAAAATGAGGCACCTGCAGGGCGACGAGACAAACTGGACTGCAACTCAGGCACGGAAATCCCCGTGTAACATGACGCATTCGCTTTCCTACCACGATTGGGAACACAGCAAGATTGGGGACCGGGGCCATCCCACACACCACGACACACCCGTCCATATGATGGGCGCAGGGCCAGGATGTGGCAGGTTTGTCGATTTCCAAGGGGTGTGGCAGTTGTGTGAGCACCACAGCACGGACAATGGGTGTGCGTCACGTAACGCCGTGCGCCGGTCAATCCATTCTAGGATTGCCCTCGGCAAAGTTCGGAGATCGGAGATACGACGGCCAGCCACGGACAACGTTGGAGCGCCCTGCAGCCCGGCCGTGACGCATGCCGTATTGGCGCCGATCTACCGGCATCACTTCTCATCACCCTGTCAATCTCCCCTGCGCCAGTCAACCAGCGATCACACGACAAGCAGTTGGAGGTTACGAATCCGCCAGGCGGCGTACATAATTGCATGGCCGCTCATGCCAGCATCAGATTCAGGGGGGGCTGGGGTACCCTCCTTTCTCACCTTCGCCCCCGCAATCATGCCCCACACATGGCAAAAGCGGCACCAGGATAGACCGAAGATTGCGCCGCACATAGTTTGCGGCCTCCGCCCCGCCGTGGCCGTCGCAGAGGCAGTACAGCGACCACGCCGGGCCGCCCTCGGCCGCGCACAGCCCCTCCTCCGCGAACACCACGTCCTGCGCACCCGGCGGTCCATCGCGTCAATCCGGCCAAAAATCTCCGCACCCGAATGCCGCCCACATTGGCAAAGGGATGGCCTGCGGGGACGCTGCGCAGCGAACAGTCCCTCCAGTCCCCCACATCCTTCCCAACTCCTCAGGCGGGCCGCGAAGTTAAATGCGCGTCGGTCATCTGCAGCTCGAGGCCCCCCACACACACACGCAACGGGGGCCAGTCGGGCAGAAACGAAGTGAAATGTTCCCGGCTCCCAATCCCCATCTCGCCCCATGCTATTTGTGCTCGGGCCGGCCACTCACCTCCTCGCTGAGCAGCGCCTGGCGCGCAGAGTGCCGCGCCCGGGGACGGGATCCCCGGGAGTGCCTGTTTCCGCTCCGGCGGTGCGGCTGCCTGCCGGCATCCAGGCAGGCCATGCCGGCCCGCGCTGGGCGGCACCCGGTCGCGGGGCCAACTAGCGCGGCCTGGGCGGGGCGCACGAGGGCCCCACGGGCCCGGCAACCGGCCTGGGCCTCGCTCTGCCCTCGTGGCGCACCGCTGGGGCGGGGGGCGCGGCGGCGTCAAAGTGGCCCCCGTGCGAGTGTATCAACGCCAGCCGGACTCGGGTCGGCGCAAACGCGCGACTTGTGCTCAACCAGCCATGGTGGCAGTATTGCGCTATGTACGGGGCACCCGGCCTGTCAGTCGTTGGAATCTTATCTTGGTGACGGGAGGCCGGGGGGTGCTGCGTGGGGCTCCGATTAGGCCGATCCAGCCGTCCGAAGGAGGGGGTATGGGTGATGGGGCGGCGGATGGGGGGACAAGGACCAATCTGGTCCGGGGTCCCCGTGACCAAATTAGGCATCCCACGGTCGAGTCGGACGTGCGGCCGGTCACGTGCTGGCGTCCGGACTCGTCCCAGCGAACACTTGTGCGGCCCGTACACGCACCAGGGGAGGGGCGACTCGCGCAGGCTTGGTGATTGACAAATTGACAGCTGCAATTGACTGAGGGCAATCACTGATCGTATCGCTTGCTGAGGCTGCACAACGTTGTTGGGGCCCGTTGGGCGCTGGCTGCTGCTCCCAGTTCATGGCAGAACTGCAGCATTGCTCGGGGCGGGAGCATGGGGCGCGACGGCGCGACGGGTGGGCGGTGCATCCTGCGCGTGTGGAACACGGTGCATTACAGGGTTCGGGGAGGCCTCCAACCGGAACACGGGCGATCTTGACGACGGTCTTTCAAGTGGGCGAGGGCTTGGTGCATGTATTGCTTGCTGAGGGAGCCTGTTGGTGTTGGGCCCCGTTGGCCGCTGGCTGCTCGCCGCGAGTCATCCCGTTGATTGCGGCATTGCAACATTGCTCGGGGCGGGCATCGGGTTGGATGGTCGTTGCATGCAGCGCATGTGGACGTCCAATGACTGTTGTAAAGATCGGTGCCAAGACATGGCACGACCCTTCGGGGTTGGCGTAGCGGAATCTGATATGCGGACAAACTGTATACCGATTCACACAGCCTCACACAGCCAAAATCGCTTAACACAGGATGTTGGGCTCATCCCTGGACAGGGAACCACCCGTCCGACAGCCAGGTCCCACACCCGCAGCGCGAGGTGGCTTATTCCAGTGCACCGGTTGCAAGCAATCGCAATCTTACAGACCGGGGGTGGCTACAATGCGCACCCCCGTAGTTTTATACGTTGGCGTAACAATGTCCATACGGCAATCTCAAAGGCTCACCAAAAGGTCAACTTCGGGGATAAGATCTACCCCCACAACCACACATCCAGATTTCCCTTACAAATCAGCCACCGTATCTCTCCGCTGGTCACCTCAACAAAAACCCTTAATCCCCTTTTTCCTTTCCAGGTCTATTTCAGCTCACCAACATCATCAATCTGCCTGTCCGAACACAGCCAGGACATCCCCATGATTCACTATACGGTCCAGTCAAAGTGTACATGTCACATCATGTGATGACTCTGTCCTACGCATGCGCCATGCGCCAGTCTGCTCACCCATGCTTCTCAGCTGGGGGTGTCTCCTCCCCCTCGAAATCTGGCTTGGGCTTGCGACTTTGGAGCCACATCTGTACCTCCGCCCGGATAGCATCAAAACGCCACTTCTCCTGGATGGCCAAGTCACGGGCATGCCACTCCGCAATTGCCTTCTTCAACAAAGGCGACCTCAAATCACGTCTCGGGGGGCATGGCGGCAACTGTAGCAAGAAATAACGATCCTTCTCTAGCGCCTTCAACGCCATGTCTTCCGCGAATGCCTCCTCCAATGACTCCGACTTCAGCCGCTGGTGGAAGAAATCATCGATAATCTTGACCCTGGCCATCCGGATTTCGTCTTCAATATCCGCCATGGCTCCCCAAACCACTGGCTTGTTGTCCAGCAGGCACATCTCAGACAGTTCGATGTTACGCCATGCAGCATCCCATGCTGGCTTGAGCCCCATGTAACACATGGTCTCAAACTGCAATATGATTTCAGCTTGGACAATTGGAGCCAGGTTGCGCATGTCCAGGGGAAGTTGGAAGCCCATCCCAGCGTGTTGCACCGCATCAAAGATGTAGCGGTCGTCCACCAAGGAGGCTCCCACACCTCCATAAGGGCGCATTGCAAGTCGCGAGCACTTCTCCACATCTTGTCTGCCTGCGGCTCCCCAGCAGAGCCGGACGCCTGAATGCCTAGCATCGCCAGCCGCACAGCCTGGAACCATTCTAGCTGACCACAGAGCTCCTTGACTTCATTTAGGCCCGGAAGGGCCTAGGTGTGTCGCCACTCCAGGATTTTGTCCATGCGGGAGACGGTCGCGGAGTTGTTCTCAGCACCTGCCATCCTTGCACAATGCTCAGGTGAAAGGGAGGGCTCCTGTGCGTGCACACTGTGATATCCACATAGAATCCAGGCATACGCTCCCCCTTGCCCCTCATGCGCATGTCACCAGTTGATGCAATGTCCAATCAGTCACTTTTCACCTAAATGGGGCCGTCTTGGTCCCTATGGCCTTCAGCCGCAATTGAAAATTCACTCTAGATAGCTCAATTCAATGCGAAATGAAAAACCGCGAATACCAGTCGATTGCTTATGAAATTTTTGATCTACTGATACTTTTTCTATCCCTTAATGACCACTTTATCCCTGTAATGACTCCCCTGTAGGGTTTAGAGGTGGCCACCCGGATCCGTTAATAGCGGACAGAGGTTAATTTCCGTTAATTTTCTGTTAATTAACGGAAAATAACGAAAAAAAACAAAAATTAACCAAAAATTAACGGATTTTTGGATTTTTTGGGGATTTTGGGTTTTATTCATACTTATAGTTTATGAAATTCGCTATTAGAGAGTATGTTTGTATTTTATTTCAACCTATGCATACTAGAGGTGGCCACACTCGGGTACCGTCCGCTCCGTTGCGTCCGGTTCGTAAAAGTGAGTGTGATATTCGTCCGGTAACATCCGGTCCGCTGTTTGCCGTACTGCCGTCCGCAGAATCCGGCTCTCACTTTTTCTTCACCGTTATTTGCCGTTAAATTAGCGGAGGGCGTGCGCGGCGTCCGGTCCGCGACAAAACATCCGTGGATTCATAATTTTGGTCCGTTCTGTCCCGTAGGTACTTGCTTTCCAGCCACGGCAAGGTCAAGGCGAAGTTGCCAGGGGTTTCCATTTTGCAGCAGCTTGAATTGTGTTGGTTGCACGCTTCATAAACGTGTGTGGGCGTTTTCCAGGTCATGTATTCTGCGGTTTGTAATACATGGAGTGTTTTGGAGAACTGAACAACACACAAGCCGTGTGTAAAGTTCCGGTGTATGGCATGCCAACCTGCACCACTTGCTGCGGCTGGTACTGCTGCATAGTACGCAGTGCGCACCACACTCCCATTGCAAGTCTTCCCGGCCATTGCAGCAAGGGTTGGGCATAGTTGCAATACCAACCGCGGACACACAAACACCCACATCACTTGAGGCAGGCGGCAAAGAGGGTTCACCTCTGAACACAGTTGAGCCACTCAACATACTTGGGAATGGGTGAT